TTGTATTGCCAGGCTCACGTTCTCCGATGAATCCTTTCTACTAACCAGAAACAAGGTTAAATATTTGTTATTAACAAGACAGTTATGTTCTCTACTTACTGTGTGGTAAAGTTATACCCTGCTTACTGGGTTTAAAGCACAGTCTATAAAAAACTTGGCTCTCTTAGAAATATTAAGGCATCCTCTTGCAAGACTTGTAACCTGACACAGATCCTTGTAGAAATCCGCTTGGTAATTTGCTACAAACCACAAAATCACCTGAGCAGGCTTTTATTCAAGCATGGCAAACCAAATCGCCATACCAAAACCCACTTCTCCAGTGCTGGTACAGAGGGCAACCTCTGGCTTCGCAGCCTAAGGATATGGATATTTGTGCTGTGGCCATATCACTGGATTAAGATAAACTGACTGTAGTAAATAGCAATAAATAACTGACTGTAAAAAGGGAACACAGAAGAAGGGTCCCTCACACCTGCAAGCCCTTGAACAGCCTGATGAGGAGGAGATAAAAACCTGTGCTCAAGGCCAGGCTCAGGCAGGTTTTGAGGGAGAACCAAGAATGTGACTTGCCCTGAGATCAAGATGGGTGACCTTAGCTGACAAAGGCCCCTAGGAGGTGCCATCCTGACTACTACAGGGGCATGATGTCCTAAGTAGGGTAGAAGAGCAAAGCAGCCCAGGTAATCAGGTAACTACTAATTCCTGCCGCTAAAGGCAGAGTGAGGGCTGCCTCTGGGTCAAGCCTTTTGCTGACCAGCAGTGACTGCAGGTCTCCTGGTTGGTCCACAGGCTCCAGGTTAGGCTACCATGGAAGAGCTGTACTTTGCGGCTTCCTGTTTTTCTTAGGGCACAGCGTTTTTTGGAACTCTGGAAAGCAGCTTGTTTCAGAGCTGAACAGTTCTGTATTTGTGCTCAATGCAAGAAGGAAAAGCTCCGTTTGTGCCTGTTGTGCAAACAGAGCCCCTGCCAGGGGAACAGCGCTAAATGCCACCACCAGAGCCACCCTATGCATTAATCCAAGGCGTAAGCTCATCCACGGCTCTAAAATCAGAAGATGGAACGCGTAATCTGCTGCTTTACTCTAATGCCCGGAGGCTTCAAAGCAGATCGGCTCCCTTCCTCCCTCGGCC